CAAATGTACTGTTTAAGATATGAAAGTTTGCAAATTTTCAGGAGTATTGTTCACTTGTACAATGAGTTCTTAACCTGAAAAATAGTATTGTAATAGTATTAACATTGTTTAATTTTATAGTGTGTAGGAGATTTTGAAAAATTATTCATATCACTTAATCACCTTTCTTTTAATCACAAAATTAATAATATAATTAAAAAGATACCAAAAGTTCTCAAAAGTAGTATGGCACCGTAATGTATTCGAGGAGGAAAGAGGAAAAAGAGAGAGGCAGCGCAAGACAGATGGCGCTGCATTCGTGGCCTATTAGTGGACATATTGGTGATACTAAAAGTAAATTCAGCATTTACACCTCAGATGTGCATCGTGAATAACTTAAACAGACTAAAGGGTATAAAATCTATTTTAATCAACATTTTATTTAAAGTAAATATCCAACATAATACATAGTATAGCTAGTTTCTAATTGCAATATCCATAGGGGATAAGTTTGGTTAGGATAGGTTAACATAATGCATAGTGTAGCTAATTTCTACTTTTGATATAGTACATGGATGATTAATATTATACTAAAGCTGCAATGACTAGCCTAAAGACTCTCTAAAAAATTTAAACTTATCCTCAGACACTGATTATTTAATTTAGCAATATTTTGAAAATGAGTGAAATAATAATTCAATGATATTCAACCATTAAACTGGTATAAATATTCCAGCTTTCATCCTTTGAATTCACTGTGAATGGGTCACCAACAAGGCACATCTAAAGACCAGAAGTATGAATTTCCTTTCATCTAAAAAAATTGCACTTTGGACGCCAGGATAATTGAGTTGGGATTGAAAATAATATTTATAAGATTTTTAAGAAATATTATAGTAAACATCGCTCTGGTAGCGAGTACAGGAGGCTCGCTATGGACGCAAATATTTTATCCGTACAAAATGTATTCAAATAGCCTATTTAGCATACTTTATATTGTATGAAATTATAACGGACCTGCCAAAAATATGCAAGAGCACTTATCCACCTATAAATATTATATTTTCCATAAATCAAAAAGAAGCAATGGAAATAAGAGGTATAATGGAGGACAGAAAATATAAGTAAATACATTAATCACAATGAGTATAGTGTATAGTATATATACTACAGTGTAATAAATCCAATAACTATAGAGCACAGTAAGTTAAGTATGTAATAAAATTCTAAAAACAGAGGACAATATTTTACAAAAAGAATTCACTAGAAGCTAGAGATAAATACCAAAGTTGTATTCTATAGTTCTATTAGAGGTTGGACCTAACCTAACTCTACTACCGAGTCTTCCCACCAGACACTTCGATAACAGTTAAGTTATCGTGACCTCGACGTTTCAGAACAAGACAAGGAGCATCTGGGACGAATCGAAATCCGGATATATCTATATCCTACGCATTAGAAATCTCGTTAGAGCATCTACGTGACCTCGACATTTCCACTAGGAGAGAAAGCATCTGCGACCTGTCGAAATTGAGGAGCGAAGCCACCTCTGTTCCCAGCCATATGAAACCCAACCTTTCAATGACTCAAAGAGACTTTAGTTTGAACTTTATGCTATCACCCCGTTTCACGTTTGCCACTCGCCGTGCGGGTTGCCGTTATGTTGCGAAGTTGGGTCGCGACGGGAAAAATTCGTTTGATTTACGAGGCACCCAGAGGGCTCTGGGACACCGACTCTTAACGTTTATAATAATACTTGGCCAGTGAATGTATTTTATTGTCACTGAGATACGAATTTTTCTTTCTTCCTTTTTTTCTTTGAAAGTGAAAGTTAGCAACACGTTAAAACGAAATTAAAACACGTTGAATATTGGATTAAGTTAGGTTAGGCATTTTTTTGGAAATGAAAGTTGGCAACGTGTCAAAAAGTAATTAAAGACTCGTTGAATATTGGATTAGGTTAGGTTAGGCTTTTTGGAGGTAAATGAAAGTTGACTACACGTTAAAAAGGAATTAAAACACGTTAAGTATTGGATTAGGTTATGTTAGTTCCTTTTCTCTCTTTTGGAAGTGAAAATTGGCAACACGTCAAAAAGGAATTAAAAACACGTTGAATATTAGATTAATTTAATATATTCAGCCGTATTATACTTTTCCCTTGGCAATGGAACGTGTTTTAGTTTTGAGGTATGTAATACAATGCGATATGCGCAAATAATATCTATATTACTATTTAATAAAAATTCGTATATAATTATGATGAATTGATTTCTTTAGATTGCTACAGTAAGAATGAGAACAGTGAATGTTTTGCATATATTACAATTTGTTTGGCTTGAATGATTTCTACTAGACTTACAATAGCGTTATAGGTTATTTACGATACCCACCGCGGCGTGGCGCCACTAGTAACTAAACCATCACTCAGCAGTAACCGCCATGACAAAGTGTTAAGACAAGTATACATATAGGAAAATGGAAAGCTTTTTTGATTTTTTGTTGAGTGTAAATCGAATCTAAAATCGGTAGAAAATAATTCTGAGTTAAGTTCAATTTATTTTTAAAAACTATAGAGATATATAAAGATATAGAGATTGATATAGAGAGATAATTTCAATTAATCAAATATTCTGACCCAGTAATTATTACCATCTTTTCTTCACTACTTATATACACCATATTTGGTACCTATACTATTGCAATATCGGTATTCAGAATAAAAGAAAAATGGTTTCTACAGAGAAACTATATTGCTGAATATGCACTTTAAATTGTTAATTAAATGATTAAGAGTTAAATGAAGTTGATTAAAATATTTCACACTGAGGTACTGATGTAGACTGTCAAATGGACACCACAGAATTTGTTCTGCATGTAATAATTACAGAAATTAGAAATTAAAAAATTCTGAATATAGAAGAATATAGAGAAATTAGAAATTCTAAAATAATGAATACAGAAGCACATACAGAAATTAGAAATTCTAAACTAATGAATATAGAGGCACATAGAGAAATTAGAAATTCTAAAATAATGAATATAGAAGCATGTCTATAATAAGATTCACGTTTATAGCCTTATAAAGCTAATGAACGGACCTCTGGATCCATGTTACAATAATTAATACACGATTAGGATAGAACATTCGAATTTCTTAATGCCTAATTTTCATTAATAAATTTCTTCTCTTTATCACATAGTATCGCGTAAAGGATATTTTTACGTAAGAGGCAATCTGTGATAAAAGGTACAACTTACTAACTGGGTCATTTCTTAAGTGTTTCTTGAACAAGAAACTAAAAATTATGAAGACTTGTTGTTATACCGTAGGCTTTATAAACGTTATTAAAAGAACATAATTGCATTAAGAATTGAAAAATATATAAAATAAACACAAAATACATTGAAAATAAATTATTTAGTACTAAATAAGAATTAAAATAGAAAATGTATTATTAACTGTAATGTACATGGTTTATGGCAGAGGACATATTGATGTGATATCTGAGTCTTTCGTGAAACAGCAGTGCTTTTATAACTTGAATTAAAAGCTAATAGAGGCTCTTTAATGCTCTTTGACTCAGCCTGTACAACACTTTATTCAAAACAATATGACATAGTATAACTTTATAAATTTTAATATAAGAAGATTAGTACTAACATAAAATTAATACTTGATTAATATCTTTGATAAAAATATGTGTGAAAAAATTTGACAACTATATATAAACAAATTATTACTTGAAAAAATATTAAAATCTGAATAATCTAAAAATTTATTTATTTCACAGATATTCATACGTATCGATGAATCTGTTTCATAAAAATTAATTAAATTTAGCTGATGAAAATACTCTTTACTCTTTAATGTTGCATATATGTGTAACCTATTTAAGGCTTGTACACAAAATTTATCATATTGACCTTATTTCCCGATTACAAATGCCATTGTATCTCAATAATTTTTATTACACATATTCGAAATTCTGAAACCAATGTTCTTTCTCCTCGTGTTTGAATAAAACGCATATTTGTATGAAGCAATGTAATTTTAATCTTTGGGGGTAAAATGTTAGAGAATAACTTGGAGAATAAAAATTATGGTCCATTACATAAATCATCAAGAACGGTAAGGCGTTTTATGTAAACTAACGATTATAGTATGCACATTTGAAAGAAAATGCAAAAGAATAAGGTGAAAATTACGTATAAATTTAAGAAAAGAAATTAAGAATTAGTAAAAAAAAGTGGAAAGAAAATTTATAAATATCAAAGATTAATTTAGTAACAATAAGAAAAAATGGTTCAAAATAAAATGAATTAAAAAAAATCAAACATAAATTTCTGATAATAGAAGCAATTATACTTTATGCTAAGACCTTAATATATCTTTAAATGTTAAACAATAAAAATAGGAAAAAAATATTTTGATAATTCAAAATATGAATTTACTTTTCATGTAAAAAAATATAACGCAAAACGTATCAATTAAATGTGACAGATGTCAAATTTTTATAATTTTTTTACTTGTATCTTATATAATATTTTAATTTACAAAAATACTATATTAATACAATGGTAAAAATAGAAACAATATTTTAGGACCAAATGTTGAAAAATTTGCAAAAAAAAGGAAACCAATTTCGACAATCAATACTTGTGAAATATTCGAGAAGATTGCAAAAACATATAACTCGTGTTATTAGTGTAATATGTTGTAATATCGAAACGAGGATAAATATTAAATTAAATGAATTGAGTATTAATATACAGTTATGAAAACGAATAACAATAGAAAAACGATTTAACACTAGAACCAAATAGAAAGCTAATTTAAAATGGCGCTTGTTGACAGTGTATCGAATTTCAAAATTTTTTCCCAATAAAGAACTGCAGTACCTTACCATATTTTCATTTCAAAAATATTTCTCAATTAGCAAAATAAATCGCGGAAAAATTAATTTCAAAGCCTAAATTGACACCACTAACAATAAACAATAAAGAAATATGCGTATTCGTACCTGGGTATCAACTTATCCTCGAGCATGCTGGGTAGATCGTCCGAGTCTTCGTTAAGGGCGGCAAAGAAGTCTTGAAACTTGTCAGGGAAACTGCTTGGCGGACAGCTGTTCATGGAAATCCGATCAAGAAGCTCCGTGGAATTTTTCTTGACGGCTTCATGATGACCCGACACAGTTGACGTTGCCATATATTACAGCAGCCAGTTCAAGAAATCGCTTTAACCGCGTAATTTAGCACTTAACCTCTTTCAACATTCTTTTCAACAACCCATCCATTCGTTGCTTCGAAAAAAGTCACCACAATATCACGATACTCTCGAAACCCTTAACAGAATCAAGAATAACCTCGCGAAACTAAAAGGAAATACGAGAAACAACTGTCTTTGTCTCTATCTTTCACGATCTTTTATTTTTCTCTTTCTTACTGGCTCGATAAATTCAATTTATTCTTCCGAATAATTACAATATCGGACGATACTAAAAGCCCATCGATTCAATTAAAACAGTCTGATATTCTGCCGTGAAAGCACTGTATAATACGTGTGAAAAGATCAACGGATCATGTTATGTAGAACGCAGCTTCGCTTCTCACGTGGATCGAGGAGAATTCTCGAATAAATTCTTCGCATCGTTTATAATGACTGACGCAACGAGACACATTTGCAACGAGGCAGAACAGTGGAAAACATTGCTCGGACCGTGCGAAAGAGATGGAACGTCTCACGATGTTTTCGAGATATTCGTAGAGCCGCGGTCGCTTCGTCCCGGCGAGGCCCTGCTGAAAACTGAGGCTCGCATGGTTGTTGCACGTCGTTCTAGCCACGCTAAGTGCGCGCGGCTGCGCACGCGTGACTCACCCCGATAGCTCCCTCGGAACGGCGATAACTCGGCAAAAGTGACCATTCGTCCGAGACTACGCGGCTGTTTCCTATCCCCTGTGCGTCTGTAGCGGTCGTTGCGTGCTTTCTGAAAAATTAACTCTGCATTCGCACACTGGGGTCTTTTCTCAATCCAACGGAATTTTCTATGTACAGCGTTACAGTGAAAAAGATTAACACTTTGCGAGATTATAGTGTACATTGGAAGAAGCACGTGATACGACTGAAACGTATAAAAATTTTCTTTCGTGTTTATCGATTTTTTCAAAACTCTGTATCGAGTAATTGTTTTATTACTTTTGTCTATAGTAATAGTAACTCTGTATTGTCATATAATTTGATATTGGTGTTCAGATTAATTCACATTAATTTTTGTATTAATATTTAGTATACTATTGAAAGGCTCGTTTACTGCATGGAATAATAATAACGAAGAAATTTGATTTTATAACCTATATTGATTAGACTCTATATGTCCCTTTTTTGCTGTTTGAAGCATTGGCGTAGTCTTGAATTTAAGTGGAGGGGGTTAAGAGTATTCGAATTAGACTGTCTGTTGGTACAGGATATTAGAGGTGCGAAAGAAGAGTATTTGAATCAGGTGCTTGCGTTTACCGCGCGAAAGAGGGAAGGGGCGGGGGAGGG